GTGAGTTCACGTTTCCGACTTCGGATGTCTCCTCCCTGTGACAGGCTGGGAGAGGGCCCCTTGGGCCTGCACAGGCGGGTCCCCCGTGAGCACAGGCCAAGTCCCCCGGGCCCGAGGGCTGGTCCAGTCGGGCGCACGGTTTCCGCATCCTCGTCTGAGTTGGCGAAGCTGTGGACGGGTGCAGCCCCCTCGGGCCGTGTGGTCCGGGCCCCTCCCCACATCCGTGCACCTTGGCCCTCTGGCCCGTAAAGCAAGGCGGTGGCCTCGTCAGCGACCAGTCACTTCCAGCCCACATCGGGCGGCTACCCGTGTGCCCGCGCTGTCACTCCGCGTGGCTGCTGGTGACGTTGCCGCTCACTTGCACAGGTTGGGACTCCGAGATTACACATGTGTCACGTGCCCGAGGCCGCACACGCCGTTAACGGGGGTAAGCCAGGTGTCTCCTCCAGGCCCTATGCTGTGATCCTCTTTCCGGGAGGGTCTCAAACTTGTGTCACCAGACAGGGTCGCCCCTGAGATTACGCGGAGTTGTTTTATACGACGCTCTGCCCACACAGGTGCTCAGTTAACACCGTGTGTCCGAGGTTGCTCTTGACAGACGCCATAAATAAACTCAAAGGTGTCTTTGCGTTTTGATGGCCTCCTAGCCAACTGCAGAAGTTGTAACGTTTGAGAAGGGTTTGTACCGCTGGGCAGCACCTGCCGAAACCCCGTGAGGAGGCAGGGATGGGCGCTTGTTCTATTCCTACCGTGGCCTTGACGTGGTGGCGTGGTGAGGGGGCCGGGGGGGGGGGGGGCCCGGGCGGGGGGCCGGGGCGGGGGGGGGGCTTGACAACACGCCGTCACGGGCGGCCGGTTGCCCCCGGGCGGGTGTGGCCCCCCCCCCTCGGGGATGGGGGCCTCGCGGCCCCCCGGGGGGGGGGTGGGGGGTGGGACGCTGTCCGCGTAGGGGTGTGAAGGGGAAGGAGAGCTTACGCACTCCCCCTTGTAGGAAGGGTTGAATGGGTGTGGGATGAAAACTGAAGATTCTTCCAGCACCGCTTCCCATAGGCCCGACATCACCTCAGGGGTGGGCCTGACTTGGGTCCTCTCAGAGCCATGACTGTCGTCCCCAGAGGCGTCCAGACCCTTGACAGCTTGGCTGCCAGCGATACCCGGGGTCCTCGATCGGGGGGCGTTTCCTCCTCTGCTGTCTGTCCCAGCGCCCCGCCACACGGTCAAGGTGGGAGAGGAGGTGTCCACGCTAAGGGCTGTTCCTCCTGTGGGACCAGCACACTCTCCCAGGAGCCCAGAACTGCCAGGGAACAAGGGGGAAGTGGACGTAGCGAAAAGCTATGGGTGCGCGTCCTGGGGAGATCCAGACACTGAGAGGGTCAGCTCCTCGAGTCTGTGAGGCCCCCCTGTGTGTCTCATGCAAAATGGGGTTATGCAACGTGGGGCATCTTGGGAGTGTCCACGCGTCTCCGACGAGTGCTGGGTGGTGGGTCCAGCCAGGTGCCAGGTCCCTGGGCGGTGTAGCCAGAGTTCTGTCCAGTACCCAGTGGGGCCTCTGTGCCCCTCCGTGTTCACAGCGCACGGGTACCGCACGTCTCTGGCCTGTGAACTTGATGCTGTGCAAGCTCCCCTCTGCCTGGTGTTGGCCAGAGGTCCTGGGCCCGGTGCCTCCTGATCCCTCTGAGTCCCGCTTTCTCGCCGGCCTGCCCCCGTGGGTTTTGTGTAGGTCAGGGAGAACTTAGGGGCCACGTCTGCCCCAGGTGGGCTCTCACAGGCGGCACCTTCTGTGGACGGTTAGGGTGACTGCTGTCAGGGGCCTCGGCTCGTCCAAGGACGAGACATTTCCCGTCTCCTCACCAGCCGTGTTGTGTGTGGGCTCACATATCTGCCACGTGACATGGGCGTCCTGGCTGGTGGAAGGCCCTGCCGTGAGCGTGTCCGAACGCGGCCAGCCCGACCTGCCCATCTGCACAGACGTGGAGGACGGGCTCTCCCACAGCAGTTAGTCTGCCCATCATCCTGGTTCGAGGCCTCGGCGGTGCCTTCAGGCGCTGCTGTCATAGATCAGACCTTCGCGTCTGCAGGATTGGGCCGGGGGGGGGGGCGGGGGGCGGCCGGCTCAGTGGCGTTGTGAGAAGGACGTGATGGCAGAAAGGTCCGGTTCTGCTCTCCGTCTGCAGGAGGGGCCGGGCTGAGCTTTGGAGACCAGCACAGGAAAGATGGGAAACTGTGTGGGGGTGGGGCCGCCTGTCACTGGCCAGCAGGGGTCACGTGTGCAGGGCCCCTAGTGGCAGTGTTGCCCGGGTGGGGGGCTGGCTGGGTGCCAAGGTGGCTCTCGGTGTACGACACCTTCCTTGGCTTCCTCTCCCGGGTCTGGGCTGTTCCAGGGTTATCCCCCGAGAGTGCTGGCTGCCACCCGCCGTCTTCCATTTCTGCAGGGTGGACGTCGTGTCCCCCACCCCCACGCTGACTGGGCTTCTAGGGCCACGGGTCCAGGGTCCCCTCTGCCCATGCAGAGTTCTCCCACGAATGGGCGTTTCAATGAGGCCATTCAGGGAGCTCCGGCTTTCCGAGCGGGAGGCTAATCTATTGCCACCGCCCCACCCCCAGCCTCAATCATTAACGGGAATATACATTTCAAACGCTGTGTAAGGGATACGGGGCCCCGTACACTCTCAGGGAGCAGAGGAAAGGTGGGGTCATAACCTGTCTGACCTGGAAGCTTCTGTCTGATTTGCATTGCCCTGCAATTGATGGGGACAACGAAGTAATCACTGAGAATTGCACTCTCCCCCCTGAAAATCGAGCCAGCCCTTCTGGACGTCGGGACACGGGCGCGCAGCCCCTGCAGGCAGGGCGCCGTCCCCTGGGCATCTGGCTCCTATCAGTCCCGGAGGCTGCCGGGACACCCTCACGGTGAACCTTCCCGGCCGAGGCAGCCAGGCCCCGGGGATAATGAACCTGCCCGAGGAGGAGGGGCCCCGCCCGCCAGACGCGAAAGGCCTAAATGATCTGTTTACAGTGATCTGAGAAACACCAGATTTTTTCAGAACCAGACCCGATCAGTCAACCCAGAGTGGGTGTGGGTGCTCTCTGCTGCCCCTGCCCTGGGCCCGTCCGTCTGTCCGTCCTTCCGGGCCCTCTGGCCTGCTGCTTGGAGCCACTATCATGGCCGAATTACCTTGGGAGGTAGTGGCAGTTCACTTGATTAGCATGGTGAATTAAAAGAAGGAGTCACAAGTGACCTGTCCGGCTCCTCCACACGGGTCCTTTGTATTCCCAGTGCGTCTCACCCCTGTTGTAAGAAGGTCAAAAATGAGAGAGAGAGAACAATTTTCAAGCGGCTAGCACTTAGGAGCAGAATTAACAATCACTCTGTATGTAATTGCCAGTTAATAGTAAATTGCCTTTTAGACTGTAAAATGCAATATAAACGGGTAGGCACCTAAAATTAAATTAATGAGATATTTGCTGCATTTAAAAGTGAATCGTGCAAATTAATAACTGAGCGCAATGCTTGTTTTAATATTTGTCTGATAGCGTGTCATTTGCTTGTTTAATAGTAATTAGACTAGTCCTGGGGTAGCCTACCTGAGAAACTCCTGGTATGGGCAGACCAAACGGTTTCACATTCGTAACTTCACCGGGAGAAACACGTCAAGTTGTTAAGAGCAATAGGAAATTATTTTTCAATTAGGAGGTAGGCATTGCCGTGTTACTTGATTGAGACAAATTGGGATTTGTACGCTTCTAATTGAAGTTACGTTACAACGAAAACTCGTTTCACAGACACGTTTCCGCGTGTGAGGCGTTCTTGCACGAGTGTGACTGTCGCTGTTGCCGCGAAGCGTCCACGTGGCGAAACGGTTTCCTGGGGCACAGACACACCGAAGCTGGTCCGTCGTGGCTCCCCTTCCAGCATCGTCCCGCGGGTGTCCCGGGGTGGGGGTGGGGGTGGGGGGGGGCTCTTAGGGTTGACGTCCTGCGCCTGAATGTTTGGCTGACCCACCTTCATTTTAGAGATTTCTTTTGCTCGATTACAGAAATTATCACAAATTACCGGGAGACGACATATTGTGTGCCACAGGCCAAAGCCAGTTACGGATCAAGGTCCTGGCAGTTAACGGCACGTCCAGAGCGGCCGCGGCGGGAGCCGGAGCGCTGCACGCGTGGGCCAGGCTCAGGTCTGCAGTGCGTTTACTTGGCGGGGACATGAAAACGATTATTTTCTGCACAAAGATGTGCATTCAGTTTCCGGCTTGTGAAATCCTTACTCAGCCAGTAATTGCTAACAGTTTTGTGTTCTTTCCGATACAGTATTTATGTTGTCATTTGTTTGAAGTCAGATTGTGCCTTAAACGGGGGACGTGTCAAGGCGGGGACGGCCCTGTCCTCAGGTGCCGTCCTGGCCCTATGGGGTGACTGTTTCTGCGCCCAGGGCCTTCTGTGGCCTCCGGCAGACTTCCACCGTTTACCCCCCACCTCCTGTCACCCCTTGAAAGGCACTCATGTTTCTGAAGTGGTTTAAAGATCTTTTGTGTGCATTCAGATGTGATTCTGTCAACAGCACAGTGACACGCTGTAGAGTCAATAGTGCCCTTCGACCACAGGCAGCCCCAACCAGCCGTCCCCCCCGGGCCGGCGCTCTTCAGACAGATTACTCGTACCCACAGCACAAATGATTCCTAGTTCCCCCCCTCCCCCATCATACTGTTTTCACTGTGCTAAACTGGATGCTGATGGCTTCTCGTCAATGGAAGCCACCTGATTATTTCAGTGACAAATATTTAACCACATGTGTGGACCTGGTGGAGAAACAAATATTGTAATTACGGGCCCTGGAGCTTGGGGAAGCTTCCAGCCATGGAACCGTCTGCTGTGGCCAGCGAGGCCCCGTGGCTCTTGGCTGTTCCCTGTCTGCTCCTCTCTGTTGGCCACGACGGGGTTCACGGCTCCTACCCGGCGGTCGGAGGGTCCCTGGCAGGTAGACGCCTTGGCTTTTCTGT